CTGAGTGCGCAAGTGCTGTCAGCGAGCATCTATGACCCCGGCACGGCACATGAAGGGAGTGGGGGTTTCGATTTAAAGCTTTCGTGACTGCAGGGATTCATCTTCTTGGTTCTTTCGGTAAAGTCACGTAGAAGGGAAGTAATAAAATAATAAAAATAAAACATAATACAATAATTCTCACGACGTTTCGGCTACAACGCAAGCAGCCGTCTTCAGGTGAAGAATGAAACACTGCCAATCTAAGCTGGGTTGGAGGTAGAAGAAGAGCGCTCTTCTTCCACCTCCAACCCAGCTTATATATACGCTCCAAGCTTGGCAGTGTTTCATTCTTCACCTGAAGACGGCTGCTTGCGTTGTAGCCGAAACGTCGTGAGAATTATTGTATTATGTTTTATTTTTATTATTTTATTACTTCCCTTCTACGTGACTTTACCGAAAGAACCAAGAAGATGTGGTGGGGGTTGTCTAGCACCACGTCCGGCCGCCTTTGTCTCCCCAACGCTGATTCTGGCCGTGAGCGGGAATCGAACTCGGGTCGCCGGGTTGGTAGCGCAGTGCGCTAACCACTTCGCCACCGCTCCCCACACACGCACGGAGCCAAAGATCCCCCGTATAGCCTTAACAGACTGTGTGGGGCAAGTGCTGTTAGCGAGTAGCACCTATGAAGGCCGGCACGGCACACGAGGGGGTGGGGGTGGACCAGCACCACGCCCGACCGCCTTTGTCTCCCCAGTGGCGATGTTTACACACCGCACCAGGTACTCATTTGAGGCTGCATCACCACACATAACAACATACACAACAACAACAACAACCGCCATTCGCCACTAAGTGGCGGTGACGTCACCACGATGCTTGTGCCAGGCCAAGTGCACCTTGAGGCCACGTGAAGTGTCGAACGCCCGCTGGCAGGAGGTCACGGGGCAGACCCAGGTGCCACGGGTCGACTGACCGAGATGACCGAGATGACTGGCTGATGCACCACCTGTGCCCCCTACTGTACCAACTTGCTGTGCTTTAGCCACCCGGCGCTCCGCTCGTTGTTGTGAGCGTCGCTCCTCCGCCCTCCGTTGTTGTTGGAGGGCGACTGCCTCCAACTGCCCAGTAGCGTCCTTCACGAGCCTCCTCCACTGAGGCCGATCTTGACACCGCTGGTACCAGTCATCGGCAAGTCCACTCAGCTCCACGTCCTCCTGTACCACATCACTCCATCTCTTCTCCAGCCCGTGCCGCGCCCGTCTAGCCCCCTCGATCCGGCCGAACAAAAGCTGTTTAGGCATGCGGTGGCTGAGCATGCGGGCTACATGACCCAGCCAACGCAGCCTTGCCTGCCGGAGCTCACTGATGGGACTTTGCCCAGATCTTTCAAGGATTTGTGAGCTCCTCACACAATCCAGCCTGGTTAAACCCAAGATGGATCGTAGGCAGGCCAGCCTAAATGTTTCCAACCGGCGAAGATGCTCCACCAGGGGGGTCCACGTTTCGCAAGCGTAGAGAAGGGAGGGAATGACCGTGGCCGAGAAGACCTGAAGCTTCGTGCGGAGCGACAGACCAGGTAGCTTCCACACAGCGTTACGCAACCGATGAAAAGATATTGCCGCTCGACTGATTCGGAGTGAGACCTCTGCTGATAAACTGGAGCCGGTCATAAGCACACTGCCCAGGTATGGGAAACTCTCCACTCTCTCCACAACTGCCCCATCACCAATTGGGAGTTGTGGGGGTGGAGTGTCCGATGGTACAAAATACCCAGGCAGGTGCTTAGTTTTGGTGGGGCTGATGGTAAGGCCCCACCTCTTAGTGGCACGCTCCAGTCTCAGCAGCAGCGTCTCCAACTCCTCTTCTGAATGAGCAGCTATTACCAAATCATCGGCATACATAACGTGGTTGACCAATAGGGAGCCATCCCTTGATCGCACCCGGGCATCGATCAGCCTCCCATTATATCTGTACCAAATGGAAATTCCCCCGGTACAGCTATTGAAGGCTTCACGAACTACGCGGTCAAAATAGATGTTAAATAATGTGGGAGCCAGAGGACATCCCTGTCGCACCCCAAGGTGTACAGGGAAAGGCTCCCGGCCACGTAGTTTTACCCGGGCCCGCTCACCATTCCAACAACATACACACACACAGACACACACACACCCAGGCAAATGTCAAACTACGGCACTACGAATACACGGCGCAGCCACGCATTTCAAACAGACCACACTCACGATCACACATCTATATTGTACCAAATAAGCACAATACACACACGAACTATTTACTTTTACCAATAATACTATACACAGAGCGTCCTACCTCGCACGTGTAAGCACACGTACATCACCCAGACTCGCGTTTATACGCAATAAAACCCACAAAAGTCACCAGCAAATGCCAATCAAATGTATACAGGACTCCAGGTAAACACAGACAGCCATGGGTAGCAAACAAACGACGCAGTTTTATCACCATTTAAATGCTCATTCGAGCAGGAAAACGAGAGCGATTTCTCATGATGAACATTGAGCCATTGATGCTCAATCATCTCCTCCCGTTTGCAGCATTGGTGGAAATTCCACGTTCCTGCGGCGGGCGAAGAGGGGGGCTTTGGGGGGCAAGCCAAGGGAGAGATGTAGCAATCAAGTTGGTGGGAGATTTCGATGTAAAGCTTTCGTGACTGCAGGGATTCATCTTCTTGGTTCTTTCGGTAAAGTCACGTAGAATGAAAATAATAAAATAATAAAAAATAATAATAAAATATACATAAAAACATAATAAAATAATTCTCACGACGTTTCGGCCACAACGCAAGCAGCCGTCTTCAGGTGGAGAACAGGTCTGTCGAGAAGACAGCTGTCTGAATGTCACGCCCCAGGCTTGGAGCGACTATTTAAGCTGCTGGGATGGTGGGAGATTGTTATTATTGATTCGCCGCAGGATCCGGTTGGGAATAATGGCAACGGTTCGGCTGAGGCCCTCATTCAGCGGTGGATTGGTCATGGCTGAGAAGGAGGATGATGATGATGATGACAACGAAACCATTGAAAACACTGTAAGCAGACAAGCACACTTGTGTAGAACGCATTTAACTACTGCACACATGACCGCGCTATTAAATACACTTTTCCCTTAACCATGTAAAACAACACACTCCCTCGCAACACAATACGCAGTCATAAACGAGCTATATACACTTTACAAAATGTACTTTTACATCCGAAGCGCACACAGACACACACTCGCACACCGCCAGAGACGCGGCCATGCAGCAGAGCAAAGGCCGAAACCCGCGGCCTGGTGGTAAACTTGCAAGCGCCACAACAACAACACAACAACAACAACACAACAACAACACAACAACACAGACACCACAACAACAACACAGACAGACACTCGCACACCGCCAGAGACGCGGCCATGTAGCAGCGTCAAGGCCGAAACCCGCGGCCTGGTGGTCAACTCGCAAGCGCCACAACAACAACAACAACACCACAACAAAACAACAACAACACAGACACACACGAGGTAACTTGCATCAATTTAAGCCAAATTTAATCACAACAGCCGCGCCTGCGACTGCCATACACTGCAGCAGTAGCAGCATCAGCAGCACTCTCCTGCAAGCCTTGGCGAGACGTCGCTGCCTCACAGGGCACGGAGCGCGGCTTCATGAGACAAACAACAAGGGGGTGATGATGGTGGTGGTGATGGTGGTGATGATGGTGGTGGTGGTGATGATGATGGTGGTGGTGATGGTGGTGATGATGGTGGTGGTGGTGATGATGGTGGTGGTGGTGGTGATGGTGATGGTGGTGGTGGTGGTGGTGCTGATAATGGTGGTGATGATGGTGGTGGTCATGGTGATGTTGGTGGTTATGATGGTGGTGGTGATGGTGGCGGTGGTGATGGTGGTGATGTTGGTGATGTTGGTGGTGATGGTGGTGGTGGTGATGTTGGTGATGATGGTGGTTATGATGATGGTGATGATGATGGTGGTGGTGATGGTGGTCGTGGTGGTGGTGATGATGGTGGTGATGATGGTGGTGATGATGGTGGTGATGATGGTGATGATGATGGTGGTGGTGATGGTGGTGGTGGTGATGGTGGTGGTGGTCGTGGTGGTGGTGATGATGATGGTGATGATGGTGGTGGTGGTGATGGTGGTGATGATGATGGTGGTGGTGATGGTGGTGGTGGTGATGGTGGTGGTGGTCGTGGTGGTGGTGATGATGATGGTGATGATGGTGGTGGTGGTGATGGTGGTGATGGTGGTGATGATGATGGTGGTGGTGATGGTGGTGGTGATGATGATGATGGTGGTGGTGATGGTGGTGATGGTGGTGATGATGGTAATGATGATGGTGATGGAGATGGTGGTGGTTTTGGTGGTGGTGATGATGGTGGTGGTGATGATGATGATGATGATGGTGGTGGTGGTGATGATGGTGGTGGTGATGGTGATGATGGTGGTGGTGATGGTGGTGGTGATAATGATGATGATGGTGGTGGTGATGGTGGTGGTGATGGTGATGATGGTGGTCACAGTGAGTGGTGGTGGTGATGGTGGTTGTTTTGGTGGTGGTGGTTTTGGTGGTGGTGGTGATGATAATGGTGATGATGGTGGTGGTGATGGTGATGATGGTGGTCACAGTGAGTGGTGGTGGTGATGATGATGGTGGTGGTGATGATGGTGATGGTGATGTTGGTGGTGATGGTGATGATGATGGTCACAGTGAGTGGTGGTGATGGTGATGATGGTGGTGTTGGTGGTGATTGGTGGTGGTGATGATGATGATGGTTGTCACAGCGAGTGGTGGACGACAACAACCACCACGGACGGCTGCTCTAAGCGTTGACAATATCATCGAGTTGTAACAGTACGTTGTCATGACACGTTGTAACAGCGCGTTATAAAAGCCCGTTGTAATGTAACGTTGTAATGTAATGCTGTAATGTAACACTGTAATGTAACGTTGTAATGTAACGTCGTAACAGCACGTCCACTTACCGGAGCTAGCGAGACAATGCAGCAGCAGCAGCAGCAGCCGCCACTGACGACGATTGATGACAATGGTGATTCGTGACGAATAACTAACTACGACGATAACCACGACGACGACGATGATCAATCAATTGATGACGATCGCCCAGCCTGTCCCGTCAACCCCCAAGTCATCGATGAGGCTCCCAGGGCTCTTCAGCCGCAACCTCCAGCCGGGATTCCATCAGCATCACCAACGCCACCGCCAACACCACCGCCACCCTCTAAGAAGACGTCCCGATCATTGAGAGCAGCACAACAATAATACTCGTCTATATATTTAGATTTAGAAATAAAAACATTGACAACAAAACCAAAGCCTCTTCACCAAAAGATTGCGACAAGTTAAAGGGCCCCTCGACTTCTTTACACTTGACGAGGCCCTGACCGGGGGGGAGGGGCGGGGCCGGTTTGGCGTGTGAGACGCGCGCTCCTATTGGTCGGTTAGCGAGGTGGGGCGGGGAGGGGGAGATGCGTTGACCAATCACAGCGGCCGATACATTTTGACCACGCCCCTGTCCCGTCACGCCCCGCCTCCCCCCACACACGCCCCGCCCCCTCACACGCCCCGCCCCTCTACGCCCCGCCCCCTCACACGCCCCGCCCCCTCACACCCCCGCCCCCTCATACGCCCCGCCCCCTCATACCCGCCGCCCCCTCACACGCCCCGCCCCCTCATACCCCCCGCCCCCTCACACGCCCCGCCCCCTCATACCCCCCGCCCCCTCACACGTCCCGCCCTCTCCATGCCCCGCCCCTCCCTCCGCCCTCAATGCAAAGTGGTTTAATTTTTTCCCGATTTTTTTTCGATTTAAAGCTTTCGTGACTGCAGGGATTCACCTTCTTGGTTCTTTCGGGAAAGTCACGTAGAAGGGAAATAATACAATAATAAAAATAAAACATAATAAAATAAAATGTTATTTTTATTTTATTATAAAATGTTATTTTTATTTTATTATTCATCTTCTTGGTTCTTTCGGTAAAGTCACGTAGAAGGGAAATAATAAAATAGTTGGGTAGTTGCAGTTATTTAGCGTCAATATACTAAATGCCTCTGTTGATATGTAAACTCTGACTTTAACATAGCCACTTCCGTGACAATTTACAAGCTAATTCCTCACATTACCATCATGCTAATCTCCCAGTTACATGCTAATTTCTCTCTTTAACATCATGCTAATCTCTCACATTATCATAGCTACTTCTATGCAAAATTCCTCTGTTGATACGTAAACGCCTTTGTCAAGGCGCTCTTCTCCTCCCACCCAGCTTAAATACGCTGCCAAGCTTAGCAGTGTTCATTGGAGCGCTGTCTTTCCGACAGTTCATCACCCGAGGACGGCTGCTTGTGTTGTGGCCGAAATGTTCGTGAGAATTTTATTTTATTATTTCCCTTCTACGTGACTTTACCGAAAGAACCAAGAAGATCTGAAGTATATTTACAAGTATTTCCTCCCCCCCCCCCCCCCACAATTGTATTCGGATTGACCTCGATGATAAGAATCCGTTCGGAAACTCTTGCAGAGCGGTGCCATCTCCCGTGCAAGAGAACGGCACGCGGTAGCGGATGTCAGAGAACTACCTCGGAGACCTCTTTAGGTGACCATTCATCCACAAAAACTAAGTGGACAGAACTTGGTCATACTTCCCCACGCTGGTCAGTGTGGGTTACAGGGAGGTCCAGGACCGGCTCCGATATCGCTCACCACTTCTTCTGGCAACCAGCAAATGATTGACAAAAAAGGGTTGTTACATTTCACGCACAACACACAGATAAAGAACCCCCGTATAGCCTTTATCAGACTGAGTGCGCAAGTGCTGTCAGCGAGCATCTATGACCCCGGCACGGCACATGAAGGGAGTGGGGGTTTCGATTTAAAGCTTTCGTGACTGCAGGGATTCATCTTCTTGGTTCTTTCGGTAAAGTCACGTAGACAGACCTGGTCTTCACCTGAGGACAGCTGCTTGCGTTGTGGCCGAAACGTCGTGAGAATTATTTTATGATGTTTTATTTTATTATTTTATTATTCCCATTCTACGTGACTTTACCGAAAGAACCAAGAAGATGAGTACAACGTGAAGGCGAGAATTGCCAACAGTTGGCACTTTTTTCTTCTGGATATTGAGTGAGGTTATTGGAGACTGGGATAAGAGTTGAATAACGGAGGTTAATTCAAATGTAGGCAGGCCACGGTAGCAAGATGTTAACTGCCTCGTCCGGTATACAGGAGGTCGTGGGTTCGACCCGACTCTTGACGCCTGTATATTTGGAGTTTGCGGTGCCTCTCTCTCCGTGGTCTCATGGATTTTTTCCGGGTCCCTCCGGTTTCTCCCATCACATTTAGAGTCGTGCTACAAATGTCCACGTCATGATAAGCCACTCCCCGTCGAGCTACCATTTGTGACTGCAGGGATTCATCTTCTTGGTTCTTTCGGTAAAGTCACGTGACTTAACCGAAAGAACCAAGAAAACAGCGACAATTTCACATTCACTCCCACTTCGCTTTCGGATAGCCCCTCAATGTTCAGTTGGAGGATCCTTGTCCCAGGGCCTATCTGGCACCTTGTTGTTGTTGTTGTTGTTTGGCCCTGAACAGCGCCGTTTGCGTGGCCCTGAACAGCGCCGTTTGCGTGGCATTGTTGTTGTTGCTTTGGAGGCCGGGAGATCGATAATTAATCGGTTCGGCCGCCGCGTTGATGGGATGCGTCATTTCTCACTTGACCGTGGGCCGCGTGAAGGCTGCATTCTTCCACTCCGCTCGCCACCGGTATAAGCCGTGCTCTTTGGTTCTTTCGGTAAAGTCACGTAACTTTACGAAAACTTCAAATCTGGATATAAGCCGTGGCGGGGAATAAAACTCGGGTCAGTGGGTTCACTTAGGAGTGCGCTGCCATCTGCTTCATCGCTCCACCTCCCCCGTTCAGCATCATCAGCCTCGGTCACTGCTTACTCTTCATCATCCACTCCACACTCTCATACTTGACTGAAGGAAATAAACTGGATGACAAAGATTCCCCGTAAAGCCTTCAACAGACTGTGGGATCAAGCGCCGTTAGTGTTAAGCAAAGCGTTGTTAGCTGGATGTGGAGTGGTCGTTTCAGTGGTTTGCGCGCCAGGCTACGAAGCCGACAACCCGAATTCGATTCTCGCTCACCACCAATAACGGTGGCGAATATTTGAACAGTTCATGGGCTTCCCCTATGTCGACTCAGCCTTAAATGATTGCAAGACGAGATAAAGGCGGCCGGGCATGGTGCTGAGCCATCCACCCCGTGTTGTGCCGTGCCGGCCTTCATCGGTGATACTCGCCATCGGCACTTTCCCCAACAGTCCAACAGGAAATCGAACCACACACACACACAAACACGTGGCAAAAAAAAAAATGCAACGTGTTTTTCCCTGGTTTCTGTAATATTTTTTCTTTATTTTTTAAAATAGAAATTAAATAAACATTTAGAGAAAATAAATACCACGACACATACGCAGGCGTTGTGGTAAGTCAATTAAAATTCTATCAATCCCAATATCACAAGACATCAATGTGGTAGGAATTAGGTGTCTCTCACACGGCCTCTCAAAGTAACATTCTCTCGTAAAAAATTTATACGTGTAAAAAAAACAATACTTGGCAAGAACTGTTGTCGACGTTCATTCTCCCCCCCCCCACCCCACGCAAAAAAGATCTGTGTTGGAAAACACTGCCGCCAGCTGCAGTCGCCCACAATAAAACTGTCCGGAGCTCAATAAATTCGCAAGTTGAAACTTGCAATGCCTTCGCTGTTGTGTTCACAATTTTCAAGTGTATTGTATGTGTGTGGGGGGTAGGGGGAAACCATATATAAAGTGGCACATAACGTATATCACGGGTAAATAAGACTGCGCACCGCTGATAGATTCTTACCGCAATTATGGTCATCAATTGTGGCCCAATCTCTTTTGCAAGTGAGAAACACGGAATCTATGGTTTAAAAGCAAGGGCGGTGGTGAAACGGTGGCTGCCAGGCACCTTCCAAGTGGCCCAGATGGAGGACGCAGCAACAATTAGAACTTTTCCCATACAGCTTTATATGAAGAAAGAAAAACTGCGGGCGCGGCCAGGGATGTCAACTTTCCCGTGGCAGTGAAGCCACGCAGGCGTACTCCAAAGTGCGCTCCCACGGATTTCTAACTTTTTAATATTTCAGTGCTTCATTTGAAACCGGAATAAAACAAAATCTGCAGAAGTGGACAGGGGGTCACTTTCCCCTGCCAGTGCAGCCAGGCAGTAGTACTCCTGGGACGCTCCCATGGATTTCTAACTTTTCAATACTGCAAAACTTTATTTGCAAGGTGGGGGGCGGGGGGGGGGGTGAAATCTGCGGACGCGGACCGGGCGTCACTGGCCCCCTGGCAGTGGAGTTAGACCAAGATTTCTAAACTCAAAACTCCATCCGAGGTTAAGCGCCCGCCTGGCCACTCCACCGTTGTGTCTTGCGGCTCTCGTCTGCGTGACTGTCCCCTGCTATGTGGCACATCGGGGTCAAGGACATTTAGACTAGACCCTTGGCTCTAGACTACAGGATTAAAAAGCGATCTTAATTGCGCTTCGGAAATTTTTTTTTTCCCTGACATCTGTGCTACGAGGCGCTCCTCGTAATGATGTCACGTGGGGTTATCACCCACTTATTTATTTATAGGAGACGGGTGATGGGGAGGGGGGGCAGGTGCTCTTTAAATGCTCTTCTTCACTTTGAAAATTACACCGCAGATAATGAACGAGCCCAGCCGAATCGTCGAGCCCGTTGTGTTTTGTTTTTTATCAAGAGCGAGTTGGCTCCTTGGAAGAACGTGCGAACCGCGCGGGGGGAGGGAGGGATGAGAGGTTGGGGGGGGGCTATCGAGATGCCCACGAACGATGGCGAGCAGTTTGACACTTTTTGTCGAAGGAGGAATCGAAAGGGAATTCTGTCGCTCAGCTCAAGTGCATCCCCGCCGTCTTATTAGTGCAGAACGACGACGACAATTCCTCAAACTCAAAAGAGGGGGGGGAGGGAACGTCCACCCCAACTCGAACGGGACAACCTTTAAGTGACCTCTCAGTGTGGTGCAAAAGCAACCTTTTCAAAAGCAGAGGTCAAGGTGCAGCCCTGCAAGTGCTCGCTCACGCCAAGGCTGGCGAAAAGGGGCCTCAGAGAACCCCCTCGCACCGGCCGTCTCCGCCGAGCCCCCCCCCACCCCACCAGGGAGTAGTTGGCCTACTCTTCCACGCTGCCAGACGGTCTTGCAAAACGTTAAGGACCACCCACATTTTACCCCTCCATCGAGGACCTGCCTGCCTGCCGACCGGCCGACCGACCGACTGGTGAAACCCATTAGTTACCGCTGGGTCAACCGGGCGGTTTTGGAGGGTCTGGGGATTTAAGAAACTCGCCCCCCCCCCTCCCCAACTCCGTTAACGAGCGGGCCAACCCTAATCGCACTGCCATATAGAACGGAAGACAGGGAACTCCTCTACTTACTATCATTCGACTTACGAACTTTTAGAGAGTTCGAACAAACTTGCCCGTATGTCCAGTCGCCTGTTCGGACCGACATTCGTAAGTTCAACCTCCACGCGCAATAGATGGCGGCGGCGGTGGCATCTACGCCTGCGGAACGTAAGGATCCAGTGGCATCTACATCTACAGGAGATTATACTAATTTTAAAGCCATTCCCCGTGTTTAGTGTACACGCCGTACAATGTGTTGGGAATCGACAGGAGTAAAGTTGGACTTACGATTAAAATCGACTGACAGACAGACCTCTGGAACCTAACTTGTTCGTAAGTAGAAGAGTCCCTGTATCAGCTTTGGGTGGGTGGAGTGGGGGGTAGGGTGAATCAACACTGTCAACAAAATCCAACCGATGAACGCAAACAAAAACACTCCACAGGTGGCACTGTGGACTCGTGCGAGACAACAAATTAAAATAAAAACTACTATTGCATCACTGGTCAACAATGTTAACAACAACAATTGGTTAAATGCTAGTTAGTTTTTCCCTCGAAAGAAATTATACTTTTTATTTTGAATTAAATAATTAATAATAATAATATGAAAAAGGTATATATATGGTTTTTTTAAATGTGCACACTTTAAATTCCAAAAACAACCGTGCTAACTTTAAGTGGTTGTTCTTTGTCGAACGCAACCGTTGTATATTTTGGCGGGGGGAATAAAACAGTCACTGCAGCCGCTGACGGTTACAATCCGTGCAACGAAACGCGGAAAACGGGGTCGGTAAGCGCTTTAGCTCGTCTCCTTACTAAAATAAATGTAATCTCGCTCGCTCGCCGCAACATTTTCCCACGAGATCGACCGACTTGTAAACTCGCGATTACGTTTAAGCACTTTTCACTTAAAATTTTTGCTGTGTTGTCGTCGTTTTTTTTTTACAAACATTCTCAAAATACCCACGCGCGCACGCTCCCTCTCTCTCTCGAAGAATAAGTCGACAAAAAAATGTACAGCTTCGACTGCATGCATTTCACGCGGGGTACAAAATGATCACCCAAAGTTCCGTACGAAGAGAATACCATAATGGCGTTTTTTTTTTCTTTTTTCGCAAAAAACAAAACTGCTTCGGGAAAAACAAATAAAACTCGGTGCGGGGTGACGACTTAGCAAACGTCACACCGCCCCCCCCCAAATGTCCTCCTCTCGTTCACGACCGTTAAGTGGCGGGGTGGGACTGCGGTTTTCGGTCAGCCTGCAAAATACAAAAACAAAACCTCTCCCCTCGACAGGGCCGTCGCGCGGCGAATTTAAAAAACCACTTCAACAGCACTTCTTGTTGCTATGTAAACTGTGGCATCTCTGCCGCCACACCACCGCACACCCCCCCCCACCGGGGTCGCCGGATTGTTGCAAAAGGGGAGGCGACGTTTGTGTCGCGCGTCTCGACGCGCCCGCCGCTCTCCCCCCCCCCACCACCGCCTCTTCTCCTCCTGGTCAAAAGTGAAGCGATGGTCGACTCCGGGGAGGGGGGCACGGCGCGCTCGGCAAATTTTAGGACGACGACGCTTTTTTTCGCTTACTAACGCGGCAGAACTTGCTAAGGCAACGGCATTGGAGTGACGGAGTTCCGTCTGCAGAGTGGAAACGAGGAGTCTGTCGAAAGGAAAAACGTGCGTGGCCGACGACGATCAGGGAACACACGACCGCGGGTCACGTGACCTCTGCGAGTGAAATTATTGGACGTCCCCCGCAACCCCCCCCAACCAAGAGGATCATCGGAGGTGAAAATTCATCCAGATTTGGGAAACTAAACTATTTCACAATATCAAATGGTTCGGCGACAGGACTTAACTTCAAGCCGGATAAGTGACCTGGAAATCGTGTCCGCACCCGGCACGCCACGTCCAGGACACCTCTCGTTCGGGCCATGGCGACTGTACGGTTCCCCATCTTGAGACCTACTCCGGTCGGCCAGCAACCGGCAAAATATTCAGCGAGTAATTCAATCCCCGTGCGGCAACCACTGCCAAGAGACGCGTGCCGTTAAACTCCCCCCCAAACGGACCGCCGCGGTCTTAACTCGGCGGCTAAAATCAACACCAACCCCTCCGACGTCGACATCTCGACGTCATCTCTCGGCAAATCGCGGCGGCCGGCTGGCCTCTTGCATGAAGGGTGATGCTGGCAGGCGGCTGTGTAGCCACATCGGCCGCGGAAGGTGTCGAGGAGGATGGAGGAGGATGGAGGAGGATGGAGTCGACGCGTCTCTCTCCCCGTGGCGCTCCTGACGAGGTAAGGGCTCAGCGGAGGGCCCCTTCCGTCAGTCCGACGAGTCGACGTTTTCCGACGACGGCGCGTACTTGAGCCGGAACGTGCCTGTTGGGAAGATGGCAACGGAAAAACGGCGGAGAGAAGCGGTGAAGTCAAGCATCAAGGACCCAGGATGGCTCAAAGTTTCTGAGCTCGGGGGCTGCCACTGCTGACTGAGATCCTGGGCTCGAATCCAGGTGGTCGCCTGCGATTTTAAAATTGGCTATTTTTAAATCCTTTATATTAAGTTCGCTTGCGTGCTTGCTTGCTTGCTTACGACCGTGCAAATCTTTCGGTCGTTTTTTAACCCACTTCCCGTGATCCAATCGAGCTGACATTTTCCACACAGACTCGTTGTGCCAGATAATTAATGTTCGTGAAAAAAAATTCCCAAAATTTTACACTTTTTAGTCCAAAAAAAATTATTTTACATATATTCAAATAGAACTCATTCTTGGCTTTGGCTGAACGTCAGAGTGTAAGAGCCCAGAGCGTAACTTCTCCACAGGCCGTGGCGGAGTAGCGCAGTTGGTAGCGCCCTCGCTTCCCATGCCAAAGGTCGCGGGATCGATCCCTGCGTCCTCCACAGGCGAATATATTTTTAAATCCTCTATATTAAGTTCGCTGCCACACATATAAAGGATTTATAGTAAAAAACTTTGTTTTTACGGGTTATACTTATTTGTTGTCATTATCACTGTTGGCTACGTACGGTGCGAAATACGTCGCTAAATACATCCAACGTACGTACAAAGAGACCCGTAGACTCACGCGGAGACTAACGGGGCAACTCGCAAAGAGCTTCAGCTCGGCGCTACCCAGCAGCGTTCAACGCCGCTTGGCTTCCGAGATCAATTGAGACCGGGCACTTCGGATCGCGTAGACGTGGGTGTCAGAGTGATTCCTTGCTTGAATTTTAATGAGCAGGAAATGAGTGGAAGTTGCACATTCCTACAGCGGGGGGGGGGGGGGGAGGGGGGGGGGGGAAGTCTAACCATTGCTGTCTTCCACAAAGTGGAACTCAATTTATAACCCCACACGCCATCCCAAGGAGGATTCGAGCTCGCAACCTTCCGCTTGCTGTACTGCAGAGCCACGGCGGGCTGTTATCACAGCACCCAACGATGACAACAACGACAACAAACCATGCCCTACGCATCGCAAATGCATCGTGTCCTCCCTCCCGCCTGCTCGCCCGCCCGCACGCTCATATATTTGGAGTTTGCATGTTCTCCCCGTGGTGGCATGGTTTTTTTTCCGGGTCCGCCGGCTTTTTCCCTCCACATTAAAATTAATTAGATTTTGGTGTTATAAATGTCCAAATGATGGGCCAGTTTGTTGAGCTGCAATAATTTGTGGTCAGGTCGCTTCTGAAAAATAAGTTCATACCTCGGTGGGGCTTTGCCTGTTAGGATGGGGATGGCTTCGTTTAAATTGTATGTGTTTGGGTGATTTGTTGACCTTTCTAATGCTTTGCACTCCTATCGTTTATTTCTATTGTTTGTTGTTGTAACGTTCTTACCTGCCCCTGTGAAAAAAAGCTTCATAGCTCATCGGATTCCTCCAGTATCAATATTCTGATTATACAACAAGAAAACGACAGCCCGCACCTTGCTGGTTGGTATCCATCGTGGGGTGCTTGCACTCGCTGGCGCGGTGACCGCACGCCCCGCAGTTGTAGCACGACAGCGTCGGCAGCCCGCCGTGCCGCCGGGGCCCCACGCTGTACTGGTAGTGCAGCGCCGGCTGCACATGCTGCTGCTGCTGTTGTTGGTGCTGTTGGTGCTGCTGCTGGACAACATGATGCTGGCCGTGGTGGTGTTGGTGGAAGAGGTACGCGTCGGACACCGCGCGCTGGTAAGGCAGCGCCATCCCCGTCAGCGCCCCCAGGGAGCCCGGCTCGTGCCCCGCAAACGGCGCCGGCGATGGAATGTAGAACGCCGCTGCCGCCTGATTCGCGTGGCCGCCCACCGTCGGCTGCTGTGCCATTGGCTGACCGTACGAGCCCTGCTGCTGCTGCTGCGCGTGAGGCTGTTGATGGTGATGCTGCTGCTGCTGCTGGTGCTGTTGCTGCTGGTGTTGCTGCTGCTGGTGTTGCTGCTGCTGCTGGTGCTGCTGGTGTTGCTGTTGCTGGTGCTGCTGCTGCTGGTGCTGCTGCTGCTGGTGCTGCTGTTGCTGCTGCTGGTTTCCGCCGGCGCCCACAAAGCTGCCGTACATCGCACTGCTCATGGGGATGACCGGGAAGCCGATGAACGGCGTCGAGAACGGCTGGAAGTATGGGTAACTTAGCGGCAACCCACGGGTGCCGCCGCAGCCACCGCTGCAACCGCACGAGCTGCAGCTGCTGCAACAGCTCTGCTGGTGTTGGTGGCTCGGAGCTCCCAAGCCGGTGCCGTTCAGCTCCGCCTCCGATCCGCCACCGCCGTTGTAGACGGGCGCGAGCAGAACGCCGCCACCGCTGCCGGCGCCGGCACCGTGCGCCGGGAAGGCGCCCCGCGTCGTGCAGTACCCGCCGGCGAGCACCCCACCCGGCATCACTGCCGGCGCTTCCAACGTCGGGGGTTTGGCGCCGGCGAGCGAGTGCTTGCCGCTCGGAGGGAAGGCGTCCGATTCCACGGCGTAGAGATGCAGCGGGGGCACTTGCTGCGGCGCGTGCTGCTGCTGCTGCTGAGTCGCTGGCGCCGGATGCTCGTGAAGCGACGTCTTGCCGTGCTGCTGCTGTTGGTGCTGCGGGTGCCCGCCGCCGGTGAATATGTACGGGCTGCCCGGCCCACCGCTGTCGTCCTGCCGCGACACCTGCACCGGCACCGGCTGCGGCAGGAGCCTCGACATCTCCGGCGACTCCATGCTGCTCCGGCTGCTGTTGCTGCTGCTGCTGTTGCTGCTGTTGCTGCTGTTGCTGCTGCTGCTGCCACCGCTGCTGCCGAAGGCGGTGACGGTTGCTTTCCCGCGCGACGCGAAACCCGAGGGCAGCGCCGGCGAGCCGAGGTGCACGAGCGGCGAGGCGGAAATGAAGCGCCCTCCGCCGCCACCGCCGCCCAACCGGATCTCGCCGGTCCCGTGGGCTGGGCCGTCGGCGCCGGGCAGCTCCGGCGGGAGGGGCAGGCCACCGGCGTTCTCTTTCCGCCTGCCGACGGCGTGCGCCGAGCTCGGGTGCGATCCCAGGTGCGACGAGGAGAGGGACGACGGGCACGCCGAGTAGGGGGTCGAGTGGGGCGCCGAGTGGGGCACCAGCAGCGGTGGATGGACGGAAGGGTTCTGCACGGGCGTCACCTGAGAGCGGTGAGGGGGGGAGGCGGGTTCGGGTGAAACGGTCGAATGACGAGGGACACCGATTCCGACCGGGGGAAGTTAAAAACCTCTCCAGGGGTGGGCGACTGCGGTCATCCAGAACTAGACCGTACAACGGGTGATGACGCAAAGGCCCGATCCACAAACACGAGGGAGAGACATCGGCGGCGATGCATTGCGCTGCTCCCAACGCAGTAAACTGACACTGTAGTCGTTGCTCCGCATCTGCATGTTTTGCCACAAGTATGTGTGGTAAATGCAGACTTGAGGCCTTGCAAAAGGTATACCTAGTTGGTGTTTCATTGCCAGAAAGGGCAAAAACGATTCTTATTTTGTTTCATCACTTTGGATGCTGGCAAAAACGTCCCATAGATACAAACGGAGGGTGAGCGAGCGAGCGCGCGTGACGAACGTACACCCCCCGCTCTCACCTGCGCGGTCGGCCTCATGATGCAAATGGCCTGGTTGATGGGGTGCGACGGGAAGGTCGGCGGCTTCTCCTTCGCGGAGCCGTCGCGCGCGCCTCTCTCGCCTGCGGAACGGGACACGGGACGCGCCGGTTAGCTCCGCTGCTGTCGCCGCTGCCGGGAGGAGGAAGTTAAGGTCGCCACGTCTCCCGTTGTCCACGCCCCGCTCCCCCACTCTTCCGTAAATCTCAAGGAGCTTAACCATCATCACGCAAACTCCGGTCATCCTCACAGCAGCAGCAGCGGATTTTGGCGAACCGTCGAACAAAGACGGTCGCTGCATCGCCCCGGCGCTTTCAGATGCGCTTCTGTGGCCGTCCGAAAAGCTCTTTCCTTCCGCTATTAGGAAGCCACTGGAACAAGGCACTTTTGCATCTAAATTGAAAACGAATTTCTTTAGAACTTCTTTGTGTTTAGTTTGTTGTCCTTCCGCCGCACCTCCGATCAGCACGGGTGGCTATGCACGGTGCGAAAGACGTTCAACATGCATGCATACAAATCGTGGGGAGTGGAGCGGTGGTGCCAATGATGTGCGCACCACGCTATGCGACGAACCACGATCTCATCGTGCAGAGTGAGGGAGAAAGTGCTGCAATCTACTGTGTGTGTGTGTAGGTCAGAGGTCACTCGAAGAAGGGGAAGAGGAGCTCTCAGAGGTGGCTCTGTGATATCCGCTTCTGTGCGCCGCTCTCTAACACGAAGGGGGAGGGTCGCGCTGCGATAGAGATCCAAGTGGATTCAAATCTCGATTTAAAGCTTTTGTGACTGCAGGGATTCATATTCTTGGTTCTTTCGGTAAAGTCACGTAGAAGGGAAATAATATAATATAAAACAATACAAATTCTCACTTTTTTCTAATTTTCTTGCTGTGGATTTCACACCTGATGACGATTGCTTGTGTTGCAGTCGAAACATCGTGATCATTTTTATTGTTTCATATTTATATTATTTTATTATTTCCCTTCTACGTGACTTTACCGAAAGAACCAAGAACGTAAATCCAGGTGGATTGTTCGTCCCGTTGTCGACGCGGCGCCGATGGCGCAAATCGCCGTAAGATTTTGGGCAAATCGGCGACGAGAGAAATGCGGCGACGTGGCGAGTGGCCTCACCGCGATCCTTGCTCCGGTGTGCTCGCTCCCGTCCGTCCTGGCTGTGGTCCCTGCTGCCCGGCGACTCCGACCTCTCGGCCGCGTCGTCAGCCCGCCCTACGCACCAATGTACAAAGATCACCCGTGTAGCCTCAGCAGACTGTGTGGGGCAAGTGCTGTTAAGCGAGTAGCCACCTATGAAGGCCGGCGCTCTGGCACACGAGGGGGGTGGGTGGTCAGCACCACGCTCGTCCGCCTGTGTCTCCAGAGTGGCGATGTTTACTACGCAACGCGCCAGGTTACTACTCATTTGAGGCTTCTGGTTTGCCAGGTTCATTGCACAGCGCGCCAACTGCTACACGCACACACGGCAGGTGATTAAATTGGATAGCCGGGGCCTGTTACTAGCGATGACCTGTTAGTATGACCTCGTCCCAAGTGGAGGTCTTTGGCCAAAGGGGCAAAGGCGCAGCCCCGCAATTGCTCCGCTGACGCTGCTGCCGGTGGAAGGAGCCTCCACACGAGGGAGCTCCGGACAGCTCCGCTAGGGGGTATTTGTCCAACTCTTCCACGCTGGGCCAGGGTGTCTCATAAGAGGTCAGAGTACCCACACTTTAACCAAACCGCACGTGATTTGCCGATCGACAAACTATTGGTAAACCCATTTATACTGCTGGGTAGACAGAAGCGGTGGGGGAGGGGGGAGATTTACAAAAACCTTGCCCCGTTGTTTCAACTGCAGCGCCGGGAGATCAAATTAAACCGGCGACCTTTGGACAGCAACTCCAGTAAGAATGGTGAAGTATGGTCAAAGAACCCACCAATATCCACACAGACTGGGGGGGGGGGGAGAGAGGCACCTCCTCAACCGGAAGTGAACCGAAACAGGGCCGCACAATCATTCGACAAGAAACGATTCCCGCCTTCACTCGAGTGATTCTAGGGATCACCACGATTCCTGGTCATGGATTCAATTCACGAATGATCTTGGTCTATGACAAGTGATGCTGGTGATGCTGCTGCTTCTTTGTTCTCAGTGGTGCGCACGCGCACGAGTAACTCGTTTCTTTCGAACTGCTTTTTGTATTTCGTTTGTTGTCCCACTCCTGCACGTCCAATTACGTACGGTGCGAAAAAGTTCAACATACACACAACCAAAACAAATAAACACATTTGTAATACTAACACTGTGGCCTTAAACAAATATATGATGCAGTCAACGTTTCGGGCAACGGACCTTCTGCACAGCACATTATCAAGTTGCACGGGATTGTGGGATCTAGTTTGGATGGTTTTGTACAAGATGATGATGATGATGATGGCAAAAGAATAACCGCTTGGGACGTACGGGACGAGTTGATGGAGGGGCTTCGCTGTGCATTGTGGGCAGGGTTGTGCCGGGAATTGTGGGTAGGGCTGTGGTGAGAAGAAGGCACTCTGGTGACGCCGTTGCTCAGTGGGTACGACTCCGAAACGCCGCCAAATTTCTCGGCTCGCTCCCTGGAAAACGACAAGAGAACGGTCATCATCATCGACGACGACATTACATCACACATGTCAGCGATCCAGTGATGGAAAATTCCACATTTCTAGGGCGGGGGTTATTACAGCCACCGCTGACTTCACCACAAATTTTATCGACCCTCCACTCCCCCCTGATTGCGACGATGAACAGAGTCGATCCCCCCGGCCACCCCAGCCAGGATTTGAACTCTCAACCTTCCCGACTGCGAGCCACTCGCTCAAACCGCTGGACGACGCGGGCCACATTCAAGTTAACGCTGGCCCAACGATCTCGTCTTATCTTAACCGTAATTTATACGGCGCCTGACAACGCACAATCACACGCAGACACCCACACACGGGTGTTAAAACCACGGCGACAAACGCAAGCCTACGAAGGGGAACATCTCTTAAAAACTAAACTATTTTTATTTCACCAGGTAAGGTCCACTGAGCTACGTAGCTCTTTTTCAGAAGCAACCTGCCCACAAATGAGAGCTCAACGAAGCGGCTTATCATCGCGTGGAAATTTCTAGCAGCCAAATACTCTAAAACGCACGTTTCTAATTGTGGGAGGGAAAAACCGGAAGATGTGGAGAAAAATCCACGCGACCACGGTGAGAACATGCAAACTCCAAATATACAGGCGTCAAGGTCAGGATCGAACCAACGATCTCCTGTATACCAGGTGAGGTAGTTAACATCTCGCCATCCGTGCAAGTCTTTGACCAGACTCACACAGTTAGACACCTTCCGTCACAAACGATCTGGAACGCTCCCCGTTTCGAGTCAACGTTGGCTCAACGATCTCATCTTATCTCAACTGTATTTATACAGCGCTTCGACCGAGGCGCTTGACAGAGAACGAACAACGGTACACGTGTGAGCGTAATGGTGGAGATGAGGTGAATAGAATTAGATGGAAGTAATGGGGCGAATCTGTGATGCGTGAATTAGGTAAAAGCAACGTCGATGAGAGCACATGATGACGAATGGATTGCATGAATGGGTAATGAGTGGTAGCCATGCAATGAGATGATGAAGAGGGAGCAGGAACGGCGGTGGTGCTTATGAGGGGTGAGATTAAGCGGTTGTGGGGTGAGCTATGGGGAAAAAAAGGTGAGTTTTCAGGGAGGAGCGAAAAGTGGTGAGCGAAGGTGACTGCTTGACGTGGAGGGGACGTTTGTTCCAGTGAAGGGGGAGAGAGAAGAGAGTGAATGCGTGATGGAGTGAGGAGGAGGGAGATGTAGAAGGCGCTTACTTTGCCAGCTGAGTCCTGAGTTTTTTCTTCGCGCCTTCCGTGAGGTTCTCAAACATGTCCACGTCCTCCTCGCTCAGGTTCAGGAACTGCCGACGGACAAGGACGCGCGCGGTCAGCCATCGCGAACAACAAAAACACGCACATCGCAAAACGCGCAATTTACACACAAACACACGCGCGCGTGCGCGAAAGCCACGGCGACGAACGGAAGGCCACGAATGGGGAAGTCTCTTTGAAGCGACTCGGAAAAGATCGGCGCCTTACGTCACAAACGATCCAAAAACGCGCCCGCTTCCCGTCGGATCTCGGACACGAAAGCCAAGCAGGGTTGGAGACCGGACAGCGCTGGGTGGGTGTGGGGTGACCTCACCGTGCATCACAACATGCCGCTTCGGGGCTACTGTGAGAGCAGAGGGCAGTGCCGCTTCATTCACTGTTGTTGCCATACTACGCTCCCACGTCGACACTCACCGCCCTTCGCCGCCCTTCGTCGATCGGAGCGGCGACAAAGCACGGCCAAGTAACCCCGCCCAAGACCCACGCAGCGTGGGGAGGCCCCTCATCCAGCAGTTGATTTACAAAGCAGGGCCGTGCGCGTGCACGGATATATGTCAATTGGCACGCTACATTTCGGTGACTAGGGGCGGACAAAACGGCACCAATTCATACGAACAAAAAGAAAAACGGAGCTACAAAGTAAATCGGATAAAACAAGACGGGGACGAGAATTGATTCTTGAATCGTGCCGTGACCCCGGGTCCCTGACCATCCATGGCATGGATGCGGGGATTGAACTGTGGGCGAGCCTTCTCCGCGTACGGCCGTGGCCCACGGCGTTTAATATAAACGTGTTGACCTACCGGCCGTCTCTGACAAAACAGCTTCATAGCTCATCCGGATTTCCTCCAGTGTAAATATTCCGATTCGGAATATAAACACGCCTCCCGTGGACACGCGGCACCGACGGAGGGAAATCGTCGCACGCCGAGTTTGAACGACCCACGAGCGGCGATATCCGCAGAGCGGGAAAACACGCCGACCATTGCCAAGAGATGAAATACCAATCGGTAGAGTCACCACTACTCACTCCAACGCAAGCACCACTGCCAGCAACAAATACCACCGTCACCACCATCAACAGACACCACGACTACCACCAACACTACAAACGCTACTGACACCACCAACACTACCAACAACAAAAACAAAGATCCCCCGCATAGCCTGTAACAGACTGTTGGGCCAAGTGCTGTTCGCGAGCACCTACAAATGCTAACACGACACACAAAGGGGCAGGTGGCCAGCACCACACCCGGCCGCCTTTGTCTCCCTAGTGGCGATGTTTAAACAACGCACCAGGTACTCATTTGAGGCCGAGTCAACCTAGGGGGCGCCCAAGGCCTGTTCAGATAATCATCACCAGTGTTGATGGCCGTGAGCGGAAATCGAACTCGGGTCGCCGGGTTCGTAGTGCAGCGCCGCTGACCGCTGCACTACCGTTGCCCACCAACAACACCGCCAGCGCCACAACCAGTGACAGACACCACCACTGCCGCCACCACCACCAGACCAGACCAACCTGCTCCATACTGAGGTGCTTGAACTCGGGGTAGTACTTGTGCAGTCGGAGCTTCTTGAGCCAGTCGAGGACGCCCACCACCTCCGAACCGTGCGCGCCCGGCGCGGTGTCACCGTGCCGGGAGGTGGGCGACGCGGGCGGCAGGCCGGCCAGCATGAGCTGCGGGCTGCCGCCGCGGCCCACCGACCCGTGGTCCGGCGAGGCCGTGGGGCCGCCCGGGAGGGACCTACGGGAAAAGGAAAAAAAATAAAAAATGCAAGAAAAACAACGAAGGAAAACAAAATCACGCCTGGACTACGCGACGCTCGCAAGCGCCCAGCGCGCGTCCCGTCCCCACGGGCGCTCAGCCGGCGACGACGGCACGGCGTTGCAAACCGCGCGACGGGCTCAAGTGAGCTGCTCGAACCGTGAGCCGCTCACGTCCGGGGTCAGTCACTCTGGGCCCACGTGAAGGAAGCTGGAGCGGAGGATGCATGCGTCAATGTAAATCCTTTTTAGCGCCGTTTTTTTTTGTGTCCTGGTTTTCGGGCAACCCTTTGAGGGGCGGAGCGGTGGCGCAGTGGTTAGCGCACTGCGCCATGAGCCTCGGTGACCTGAGTTTCGATTCCTGTCCGCGGCTAACGGCAGCAGGGATACCTGAACCGGTCCCTCTTGGGCCTTCCCAACATCACAAACCGGCGCCGACCAGCACGGTGAAGTACGGTCAAACAGCACCGACGACACGACACGCCGTGGGGAAGTCCATCATCGAACAGTGAAAACTGACACTGGGCGGAGCGAGCACACACGGCCCGCGTTGGCGAATGAACCGTAGAAAACTATTTGAAGGCTGTAGGTGGCGCTTCCGCACTGTGGATGGCAGCGTACACTTCGCCGGTGTTTAAAAATAAATAAATTCGAGATGTAAAACGCTGACACAAAGGGAACGAGAGAGAATGGTCAACATTGTAAAGCGTCCATAATCATATTTTTTGGGTTAGATCGCGTAAGTATAAAGGCGTCGCAACCCTCCACTACGCGACACCGCCAATCAGTAAAAAATGTGTTGTGGATTCACTTTTCAAACACACCGGTGGGCTGAACAAGTAACTAATTGGCTTTATGTCAACGTGACACATTTTTTTACTGATTGGCCGCGTCGGGTGGTGGAGGGTTGCGACACATTTATGCTGACGCTATCTAACCCAAAAACCTTCATTATGAATAATACCGATCGCGAAAGCCTACGTGTTAAATTGTAAAGCGTGCATTCCGAAAAAACAAAGCGTGTGCCGTTCGCCATGGTTTCGACAGAGGTTGATCCCTTCATTTTTCACAATGACAACTCGCGTGGGGGAAGGGCGGGCGGGCGTAGGGGGAGGAGGGGGAACCGATGCATTCCTAAGGAGGCAGCGGACCAACTCACGGATGACTGGGTGGAGTCGCGCAACCTTAGACAGTTCTGCCGCGTTGCGGTTATGAGAGCGCGCGGGCGTGCGTCGCGGTGCCGAGGAACGAGCAAGCGCGATCAAGAGCGCTCAGATGTGCAGCCGATAAGCAACAAAGGGGTGTGGCTGCCAAAGGACGTCCACCGCTCGCCCGATACTAGACACGGGATCGTCACCGCGAGAGAGATGGCGACGGCTTGGGGAGGAGGCCTCCATCCAGGCAGTGGATTGATGACGACTGAGCCGGGATTGGGGCGGTGGGGCAATGCTGTGTGCCGTGAACCTGACAAACCCTCAGTTAAACTCCTGGCCGTGGGTAACATCAGCGGCAAGTCCTATAACACCCCTCCCCTTCCGCTTCACCATCCCGCACTGACCAGCGTGATGAAGTATGGTCATATTCTTGGTTCTTTCGGTAAAGTCACTAAGAAGGGAAATAATAAAATAATATAAATATAAAGCAAAAAAATATATTTATATTATTTTATTATTTCCCTTCTACGTGACTTTACCAAAAGAACCAAGAATATGAATCCCTGCAGTCACGAAAGCTTTAAATCAGAAGTATGGGCAATTAGCCTCTATAAGTCCCTTATCCAACAGTGGATCCAAGGGGCGGGGGGGGTGGAGGGGTGGGGTGGGTTGGTTGAGAGCGCAAAAATTGCCATTTTGCTGGTATTTACTAGATACAACTTGAATATATTTATATTATTAATGTAGGGCCATATTTTGAAAAGATTGACATTTCGGGGCCACCCCTATTGCCCTGCCACCCTGATTGGGAAATGTCACATGTACACGTGCATACAGGTGTATGTGTGTGTCGAGGGGGAGTGGTCATGTAGCAGTTAGCACGCTACGCTACGAACCCAGCGACCCGAGTTCGATTCCCGCTCACGGCCAACACCACCAGTGACGATTATTTCAACCGATCCTTGGCCTCCCCCTAGGTCGACTCAGCCTCAAATGAGTACCTGGTGCAGGTGTGTAAACATCGTCACTGGGGAGACAAAAGCTGCCCACCCACCCCGTCGTGTACCGTGCCGGCCTCCATAGGTGCTCACTTACAGCACTTTCCCCAACAGTCTGTTAAAGCTACGTGGGGGAACTTTGCCTTTGCACACGACGTCCACGCGCGTCGAATACTCACTTGCACGCATTCACCGTCAACTGCCCGCCACCTAAACGCCGACCAGAGCAAACGAAACAGAAGGGAGGCGATTTAGCTCGGCGAGCGTCCGGCCGCCCGACCGTCGCGTGACATCCGTCCGTGCATGACAACAATAAAGACCGAGGGGGTGGGGGGGTGGGTGGTGGGAGGGGGCACGCCGCTCACGAAAAATGCATTCAAGTCCCCGTCTTGGAAATGACGTCTCACCTCTCGAAGCCGATCCAACCGCCGCCGCCTCTTTAGAAAGGTGAGTGCCGCCGCCCTGCGCCGAGTCTAGCGGAACGGAACGCGCGAACACAAAAGCGAAAAGGGGAAGTCGTGAGCCGCACGCGCCATCGGCATGCGTGGCAGTAACAAAACACAACGACGCGGCATTTGGCCTCGCAGGGGACTTGGGTTGGCGATAACGAGGTGACGTAATTTGCGATGACGAGGTCATGTGACTAGCCGTGACGAGGTCATGCAATTAGCGATGACGAGGTCACGTAATTATCAGCGATGAGGTCGCGTAAGTATCGCTAAAGGGGTCACGTAATTAGCGATAACGTGGTTGTGTAATTAGCGTTGACAAGGTCACGTAATTGGCGATAACGAGGTCAGTTAATTAGCGATTAAGTCGTGTAAGTATAGATAAAGAGGTCACGTAATTAACTAGAACGGGGTTGTGTAATTCGCTGCGCAGGGAGACGGCATTATTGAGCGCTTCTCATTTAATTAGTCTTCAAACGTGCGATTTTCAGACGGGGAAAAAAAGCAGCCGGTATGACCGGCTTCAATAATCACAGCAGCTGCAAATAACGATGCGGCTTACAACCCCACCACGACACTCGTCAAATCGTGGAAATCCGAGCTCGCGTACAAGCGTACTGTGAAAACTGGCGCGGACGTTCGCGGTTATCCCCTCGGGGGCTCACCTTATCTTTACGCAACTTAACCGAGGCGCTTGACAGAGAATTAAGAACGGTACAACAGCGCGCACGTGTGAATTCTAACCGTGGAGATGAGTTCATTAAATAGACGAGAGGAATCTGTAAATTCGGTGAAAGGGAAATTGGCGACGACGAAATTATTCAGTGAATGGGGGTTAATGAGCGATCGGCACGTGATGAGAATGTGAAGAGGGAACGGGGTAACGGTGGTGTTGGTGGTTGTGAGAGGGGGAGCTTAATGGGGTAGCGCGGAGGGGTGAGCTCAGGAACAACGGGCGAGTTTTGAACGAGGAGCGAGGAGCGGAGGCTCGTGAGCGACGCGGAGCGAGGAGGGGAGGGGTTTCTCGTCATCCGTGGCACGGAGCGAGGAGGGGAGGTGGATCCCACACACTCACGGATGCCGCCGCCGCCACGGTGATGGTGGTGAGCCCTGGCGAGAGATCCGCCGTGCAGGAACCCTCGCACGTGCACGCTGCGCAGCACGTGGGCCGGTGCGCTCGCCAGCAGCTGCCTGCGACCCACAGCACGGTGCCCCACACACACGCACACACCGGTCACATCCGGTGTCCGCTCGCTGGGCCGAGTCCGTCTGTGATTGAACCTCTTTGTGGTGCGGTCCCCCATAAGCGTGAAGGATGACGATGGCCTTGGGAGGGGCCTTCACCCAGCAGTAGATTGATCACGGCTGGCTGATGCTAATGATGATGATGATAAAGAGACACAGAATAACCCCGTGCCCATGGAACAGGTGGAATGCCTCGTAACGCGGTAGCGACAGCAGACCCCCCCCCCCCCCCCCCAACTGTCATCGGAGCGCAGCAACCGACGCAATTAAGCCGAGTGACTTCTTAACCTTAATTACAGGCACCGTACCGACGATATAAATAAAATGTATAATTCTGAGAAAGAACGATTCAGAGAGAGATGGAAAACAATTCAGAGAGAGAGAACGATTCAGAGAGAGAAAGAGAATGATTTAGAGAGAGAGAACGATTCAGAGAGAGAACGATTCAGAGAGAGAACGATTCAGAAAGAGAACGATTCAGAGAGAGAACGATTCAGAGAGAGATGGAAAACAATTCAGAGAGAGAGAACGATTCAGAGAGAGAGAGAACGATTCAGAGAGAGAACGATTCAGAGAGAGAACGATTCAGAAAGAGAACGATTCAGAGAGAGATGGAAAACAATTCAGAGAGAGAACGATTCAGAGAGAGAAAGAGAATGATTTAGAGAGAGAGAACGATTCAGAGAGAGAACGATTCAGAGAGAGAACGATTCAGAAAGAGAACGATTCAGAGAGAGAACGATTCAGAGAGATGGAAACAATTCAGAGAGAGAGAACGATTCAGAGAGAGAGAACGATTCAGAGAGAGAACGATTCAGAGAGAGAACGATTCAGAAAGAGAACGATTCAGAGAGAGATGGAAAACAATTCAAGAGAGAGAATGATTTAGAGAGAGAGAACGATTCAGAGAGAGAGAACGATTCAGAGAGAGAAAGAGAATGATTTAGAGAGAGAGAACGATTCAGAGAGAGAACGATTTAGAGAGAGAACGATTCAGAGAGAGAGAGAACGATTCAGAGAGAGAAAGAGAATGATTTAGAGAGCAAGAACGATTCAGAGAGAGAGAACGATTCACAGAGAGAGAGAACGATTCAGAGAGAGAAAGAGAATGATTCAGAGAGAACGATTCAGAGAGAGAGAACGATTCAGAGAGAGCGAGAGAACAATTCAGAGAGCGCGGGAAAACCCGCAGGCAAGCTGGAAGGCGGCCAGAAGCGGCACCGACGATTGCCCAAGCTCTGCGGTCCTCTATTGGCTGAATTCTTGCACCCGGAGAAAAGCCACGGGTGAGAGGGCAGCCGTGGGGGTTGGGGAGGGATGGGAGTTGCCGGTTTAACAATCGAACAAACCGCGCGGAAGAGCAACGGTGAGTAAAGAACTCGTATCCATAACGGGGGGGGTGGGTGGGCGGGGGATTGGGTTAGATCACGTACACATAAATGTGTCGTTAAACAGAGGAGGCGGAACGTCACGGTACACGCGAATTGTAGATGTTGTGGGTTTACTCTCCAACACACCGCTGTGCTGCACTCGTAACTAATCGCCACGTTTTGTTTTACGTGGCAAAACCACGCTAATTGGCTGCGTCGTGTTCGGTGGCGGTTTTAACGACACGTTTAAATTCACGCGGCCCAACCCAAACAAAACCCCCATCATGGGCAAAATTGGTCGCGAAACCCTTACTACTACTACTACGTGTCAAGCGAAATAACGAATTGTTTTACAGCCGCCTCGTCCATCCACCTGCTGGACAAAGTTGTAAAAAAGCGATGTGTGGGAGAGTCGCTATATGCGGCGGGTGGCGTGCGTGCCACTCCCGTGGGGTAATTCCCCATCATCATGACATCAGGCTCAGCTGTTTTGCACGGAGCCACCAGGGAGAGAAAGAGGGTCGTTCCATTACCTCATCTGCCTCTAGACTTGGCTAAAAATAAAAACAGAACAAGTGCCGGCGCACAGTGAGAAGGTTCGACGCGAGGGATGGCCTAAAACCTATTAGACAATATATTTTAACCAAGCAAGGGCCCACTTGAGGTCTATAAAGCTCTTTTTAGAAGCGACCTGACTGCCACAAGTGATAGGCTCGACAAAGTGGCTTATCGTCGCGTGGCCAAATACTCCATAAATGCACGTCGATTGTAAATGTGGAGGACCCAAAGAAAAATCCACACAACCACGCACACTCCAAATATACAGCGGGTGTCAGGGTCGCGATCGACCCCACGACCTCCTGTATACCTGGCAAGGTAGTTAACATCTCCTAGCCACCACGGCGTCCCGCCAAGCAGCCCTTCCTGTTTGTTTACGTACGTACGTAAAAAATGTTTATGCTTTCCCTCAACGTCATCGCAGGTTGCGCTAACGGCGCCGAGTCTTCACGACACGAAGAATCCATCGGGAAACGTCGCAGGACAGCGCGACGACCCTCAGCGTCGCGTTGAGACAACGGGCTCGTTTCGTAAGCGGATATCAAGGAGCAATCTCTCAGAGCGCCACCCCCCCACCCCACCTTCGAGTGACCCCTCTGGTCTTACTATACACCACACGAAACACTACACTACTATACACTACACATTGGGCTCTATAGAGGCCGGTCGTTAAGCGATTAGTCGTTAACAGGCGTGGTTGTTACGAGGGTTTCTACTGTATTTTAATTCAACAACAAAGATTTGAATGCGCATTCAACAGCCGGGAAAGTAGAGCTCAGGTACGCATTGCGGCCCACAGTTTACTTTCTAAATGACCGCCCACACCCTCTGGGTCAACGACCGAGAAAATATTCCCAAACCCGGCCCACCACATCCAGTATGCCTCTCGCTATTGGCCGTGGCTACTAGTCAAGAGCCGCCGACTCCAGTCTACCTGCGACACCGGAAAAAAATATTCGGTGAGAAAATTAACCCTGTCGTGGTGGAGCTCGATGACAGCCACTCACCTCATCGCCGCCTCCACGTCCACTGGCCTTTTCTCGCCGTGCGCCGGAGGCGAGTGGAACACCATCGCTCTGCCACCGCCGCCGCCACCACCGCCCTTCTCCGTCGGCAGCGGTGATCCAGTTGGCGACCGTGTCGGCAGGCAGCGTTGCCGGTCCGTCACGTCGTCCCGCGTCCTCCCGTGCGCGTGTCGCCCGGGCGAAACGATCCGGCCCAGCGGGGCCCACTCGGCCCGCTCCGCCCGCTCCTCCACGCCGTTGGGCCGCCCGTCGTAGCTCGCCGCTGGCGCCACCGACGAGCCGTGCCGCTCATCCCGGCTCCGGGGCCGCGCGTGCCGCCCGCCCCCTCCGCCCGCCGCCGCCGAGGGTGTGTTGGCACGCTCCGCCTGCTTGTCGCGCGAGTTGCTCCGCGTGCGCGGGGTCGGAGGTCGCGCAGCCGCCCCCACGCTCGTCGTCGTCCTCACGTCGCGCCCCGCCGACGGGTGGGGCCTCGTCGGGGACGAGCGGGGCCCGAAGACCGAGTGATCGTGATTCCGCGTCGGCGACGGGGCCGATGGGCCGGGGCTTGGGCACGGGGACCGCGGAGGAAGGGACCTCTCGGCCGACGGGGTGGGCCTCTCCGTCGAGGAGTCGGTGCGGTGGGTGGAGAATGCCGTCGCCCCCCGGGCCGGCGGGGGTGGGAAGAGCCTCTCCAGGTGGTCGTTGGGGAAGATTTGAGGGAGCTGAAACAAAAACGAGGTTTAGAGGCATCAGACGGATTTGTTGAGCAGCTCAATCTATTAATTGTGTGCTAAACGGGGGGAATTCTCGAAGCTGGCAAGCTGATGGTCGCAACCTGGTCACCAATCGCTTACAAAGAGACCCATGGACTTACATAGAAACCCATGCACTCGCATTAAAGATCACACACTCACATAGAAACCCATAGGCTCACAGAGACCCACAAAGACTGAGTTGTGATCAAACTGGGCTCTGAAGAGTAGTAAGTTGATGGTCTCAACCCAGTCACCAATGACTCACCCACAGACCCATAGACTCACATAGAGATCCAGAGACTCACAAAAAGAGACCCACAGACTCACAAAAAGATCCACAGACTCACACAGAGACCCATAGGCTCACACAAAGACCCACAGACTCACCCAGATAGACTCACATGGAATGAGTTGTAATTAAAAGCAGGTTCTCATCAAGTCTACCAAGCTGATGGACTCCATTCGGTCACCGATAATTATTTAACGCGAGAAAAAAAAAATCGTTATTAAATTTGGTCCGTCCAAATCTGAGAATTAATCCGTTGGTGTTCCTGCCAATAAAATACATTGTATCACGATTCAGTCTCTTCAAAAGAAAATTTACGAATTGTTTTAATAATGTATCCCCACTCACGGCGTATGTACAATCTACAGCTGTATGAATCTACAGTGGCAAAAAAAAACTACAGCGTTGCAAAGCTACAGAAAGTGATGAACACACAATAAGACTACTAATATTAGAGTCCTTTGCGGCTTCTACCATTACCACTACTAGACGTCACGCTCGTCCAGACGACAATGTTTCTCGTCTCTTTCGTCTGACTCACTCACGCGCACGCACGCGGGAACACACGCGCACGCACGCGGGAACACACACGCACGCACACACACGCGGGCACACACGCGGGCACACGCACGTACACACGCGGGCACACGCACGCGGGCACACGTACGCACACACACGCACGCACGCACGCACGCGGGGACACGCACGCACGCACACACACGCACGCACACACACACGCACACACGCACGCGGGCACACATCTGTTTCCACTTTTGACAGCACATTACCATGCGCAGACGGCATTACTACAAGCTGCCCCACCGGGCACCACCGCCCCACCACCACCACCCCCGCACCCCCCCTCCACCCACCCGCCACGGGCCCTTGCCGCTACGAAGCAATTCGACGCAACCCACTGCCAACAACGCCCACGCGGCTTATGGCGGCACCGACCTTGGAGAGAAAGTCGTGAAGTTCCTGGTACGTCTTGGACAGGGTCACCGTCGAGCCGTCCGACCAAAACACCTGAGCGGCGAGAGGTTCAATCATGAGAGCGCAAGCGCGGGCAAGGGTGAGACCGAAACGATGGGGGGGGGGGGGGGCACGCCGTTGTAGCACCGTGCGACGGATGAGTGCGGCGACGCGACTCCAAACCCCCGACTGCGGTCGCAGGGCGGGCGATGTTTCTCGCTCACCTCCAGGTAATACTCGGTGCACCTTTCCCCCTTCCTCTTCGACAGGTTCTTGCGTTCGATCCTCTCGATGGAGGCTAAAGGGCAAGGCAGTGGGGGCGGCAGTGGAGGTGGGGGAAGAGATTACGGACGATGATGACGATGACAAAGACACGCGTGTTCGTAACGATAGCGACGCTGCGTCGTTCCGACCGCTCGCCACACGGACCCGGCTCGCCGAGCTCGAAAGGACCACTGAGATGATGGAGAAGGAAAGAGTGGCAGCCCTGCAACAACCAACGCTGGCAGAAGTGCCCCCACAGGGGAGGGAGTAAAGAACACAATCAACACAAAGACTCAACAGGCTCGTGGCCTTGAAAGCAACAGGCGATGTTTTCGAGCAATGACCCGTCTCTTCATCCCACATACATCGTGCGAGACAGCTCGAAAAATAACCTCTCGATGGTATTTGGCCCGTCAAGTCTTGGAAGAGGTGTGCAGTACTCACAACAACAACCGCCATTCGTCACCAAGTGGCGGTGACATCACCACGGCGGCTGCGCCAGGCCATATGCCCTTTAAGACCACGTAAAGTGTTGAATGCCTGCTGGTAGGAGGTCACGGGACAGATCCAGGTGCCATGGCTTGACTGACTGAAATGACTGGCCGAAGCACCACACCTGTGCCCCCTACTGTACCCTACCCGAGTACGGGTAGGGTACGGGTATCGGGTACCTGATTGCGACCTCTGGGATGAAGCCATGTTGCAGGCGCGGGTGGGCTGATTCTAGGAACTTGAATTGTGAGAAGAGACAAGACGTTGGGAAATGAGTGACGAACGGTGACTCACCAGTGACTCACGGCCTACCCGTACCCGTACCCGGCCGCACCAGGGTCGCAAACGGGTACCCGTACCCGGCCGGGTACGGGTAGCCGGGTATCGGGTAGGGTACGGGTATCCGGTTGCGACCTCTGACCCCGAGAGACTAAAACTACTCAAACTATTTAAACTGTTTTTATTTGACCAGGTAAGGCCCACTGAGCTCTGTAGCTCCTTTGCAAAAGGGCCCTGGCTCTCACAAATGATTGGCTCAACCAAGTGGCTTCTCGTCGCGTGGGAATGTATAGCGGGAGCCAAAAACTCGAAACGCGCGATGTTGATTCTAAATGCGGAGGGAAAAAACAACGGAAAAAAAATCCAATAAACCACGGGGGTGAGATGGATTTGACCCCGACCCTGACGCCTGTATATTTGGAGTTTGCGTGTCTCTCTTTCTGCCTGCGGTTGTGTGGATTTTTCTCCGGGTCCTCCGGTTTAATTCTCCACATTTATAAACATGCGTTAAGAGTATTTGGCTGCTATACATTTCCGCGTGATAAGCCACTTGGTTGAGCTATCATCTGTGGCCAGGTCGCTTCTGAAAAAGAGCTATAACAGCTCAGTAGGCCTTATCTGGTGAAATAAAACATAGTTCAGTCGAGTTTTTGTTGTTGATGTATTGAATTGTGTTCCCGAATTTGTGACTCTTCATATTGGTTCACCGGGGAAGTGAATAACTCTAGTGATGATGCATCAAATTAATACCGAATCATCGACGCACGTCAGAAACAAATTAGAGACAAGTGGAATTTAGACATTATTTTCATACATCGTAAATAATTGCTTCTAGATTTGAAGTTTTCGTGACTGCAAGGATCCATACTCTTTGGTTTATATGATCCCTTGTCAGAGTCATCTCTTTGGCATACTTCAGCAACTGTTTTCCCTGTGGTTGTCCCCACCTGATGAAGGACGCTTGTGTTGCACCCGAAACGTCGTGATTTAATTTAATTATTTTTATTTTTATTCTTATCTTTTATTTTTTATTTTCACCGACATGACTTTACCGAAAAAACCAAATAATTGATTCTCACACACACTAGCTTTGTTTCAGAAGCGACCGGGCCACAAATGAGAGCTCAACGAAGCGACTTATCACGTGGAAATGTATTGCAGCCAAATACTATAAACACATGTTTATAAATGTAGAGGGAAAAACCGGAGGCCCCATAGAAAAATCCACGTGATCACAGCGAGAGACACGCAAACTCCAAATATACAGGCATCAGGGTTGGGATAGAACCCACGCCCTCCTGCATACCAGGCGAGGGAAGTTAACATCTCGCCCACCCCAGCAGTTACAGCTTGGGGGGGAGGAAGCCTCCATCCAGCAGTGGATTGATCAAAGCTGCTTACGATGACATTGCTTTAACCACCCGCCGTAGAGACCAGCTTACGCCCTCCCGATAAAACACCCGCCAAAACTTTCTTCAATAAATTGGTGGTGGGGGGGGCGGCGGTGGGGGCAAGAAAAAGAAGGAACGTAGCAATCTCCTTGCGTCACAAAGGCATATTTTTTCCACGAGTCGATACATCAAACGGCGCGTTGACTCCACAACCATTCCCGTCTCCCCACGCCCGAGCCCTGCCAAGCCTCGCAAGGCGACGACGCAAGCGGATTATGAATACCGCAGCGCTACCACCAAGTCCGCTCTCTGGACCGACGACGGGAGGGAGGGTGGAAGGGAAAGGAAGGACACTTGGAGATTACACTTCATGGCCAACGACCAACGTCTCGTCGTTCATCCCCCCCACCCCCCCACGTCCGTCCGTTAAAATCGATACGGATTCGGCTCGCTCCGTGGCAAACTCAACATTTCTTTGCCAGTGACCAAAATCCCCCTAAGCGCGCAGCCGTCACCACGAGAGAGCTTTCCCCGCGATCCAGCGACATGCGTGGTTTAATTATTCATGCCGGCCGTACCCAACCTGCCTGTATTCCCGTAAGGCCGTAACGTATGGGGGGGGGGGGGGGGGGAGGGGGAAGGTGCTCCGAGCAGCTGATGCAAACACGATTTTTTTTTTTACTACACGAAACACCGCAGTTTGTTTACCATTTGGTGGCCGGCAAAAATTGTTTGAGGGCCCAGAATGGTTGGGGAACTACCAATTAATGTATCTATGCATTTAACTGTGGCCTAATGTTGTCAAGTATAAATGTTTCTACACGTGTCGTTACATATTTGGTATGACCAATACGTGTGTGTGTGTGTCAATCGACACCCTTGCAAATGAGCTGCCCCGTCTCAGGGATATTCCAGGTGCAATATTTTAATTAGCAGCGGAAGGGGAACTCTGTATCGAATTCACAGACTCGCGAGACGCTCCGTCCACCAAATGCACACGCGCAGTCTGGTCCCACCTCCCCCCACGGCAGAGGTCGCAATCGGGTACCCGATACCCGTACCCTATCCGATACCCGGCTACCCGTACCCAGCTGGGTACGGGTATCCGTTTGCGACCCTGGTGCGGCCGGGTATGGGTACGGGTAGGCCGTGAGTCACCGGTGAGTAACCGTTTGTCACTCATTTCCCAACGCCTTGACTCTTCTCACAATTCAAGTTCCTAAAAATAACCCACCCGCGCCTGCAACATGGCTTCATCCCAGAGGTTGCAATCGGGTACCCGATACCCGTACCCTACCTATAACCGACCGGGTACGGGTACCCGTTTGCGACCCTGGTGCGGCTGGGTACGGGTACGGGTAAGGAATCAAAACCCATTTGCGACCTCTGCCCCACGGCCGCCCCTGGGTCACGTTGTCATTGGTGCTGCCCCTGGCTTGGTGCTGTCCTGGCTGCCCCAGAGTTGGTGCTGCCCTGGCTGACACAGATGCCCCTGGGACTCGTTGTTGTGGTTGGTGCTGGGCCCCGGTAGCTTGGCTCTGGGCTGTGCCGTTGTGTCTTGCTCTCTCCCCTCTCCCGTGTAAAGGGTTGTTGGAGATGCGATTGAATTGAGGCGCCATATAAATTCAAATTGCCAAAGCTGCTGCCGTTGTAGTGGTCGGTGGTTGGTACCAACCTGAGACAACCCCCGACATCTCTCCATGTGCGGTAACATCAACACCCACTGTTGTTCCCCTACTGCTGTGATCCCACCGTTTGTGCTCCCCCCTTCACAGAACCCAGACACAGACCAGAGCGGTGAAGTACGGTCAATTAACCTTCCCCCCACCGCCACAACGACCCGCCAGCGGTGGGCCGAGAGACAATAAAACAGGGCTGTATGCGCGTAAAATTCAGACACGAATGGGAACGCATGGGGGAGACGGAGAGGGCAGTGGAATTTTACTTTGCGGTTGAGCTGACAAGAGCCAAGACACGTGCGTATGAAACACAAGGCGCATTTATAATAGTTTTATTTCATGCCACGTCGAGATACATCTCGTTTGAACGGTTTTATTTTGTTCTCTCTCGCCTGCGCTGTCAATCACGCGCTGGTCGCCGGCCGAGGCGATTTCCCCGCGAAAAACGAGCGTCGACGCGGCGGAACTCATCTCCTGTTTGCAGCCCTGAGCCAGTGGCGGAAATTCCACATTCCTATGACGGGTGGCGAGCCTATCCACAAGACAACCGCTGTTGCGTTCCCAACAAAGCGGTGCTCACTTTCATCGAACCCCGGGAGGAGTGATGACGATGGGCTGAATCAACCACCACCCCCCCCCATCAACCCAACCAGGATTCGAACTCGCAACCTTCCGCTTGCGAGCAGCTCGCTCAGATTGCCGAGCCACTCCCTGGGCCGGAGAGCGACACGCGAGCGCTGCCCAATGGCCGTGTCTCCCCTTTCCTTCGCCTCGGCCCGGGAAAATAAAGATGGCTTCAAAGCGAGCCTCGTGAGTAGGCAAGTCCCGACTTGCCTCTGGAACTCGTCTGGGACCAGCGGGGGGGGGGGGGGCTTCTCAAGCGGGCTGCGATGTGGAAGCACGGAGCAATTTGTACGCTCCGCGGAATGTTCTTCGAGTGACCTCAAAAGCGTTGCGTTGGCGTCGCCGACGACGCCCGGTGCCCGATGTTGGCCCGTGTGACGTAGACACCGCCGATTCAAATTTAAAATTCTGCTGTCATCATTTAATTGTTATTTTAGCTTACGTTAGCGCCGGCACCTTACACCAGGTTGCATCTCGAAACGGCGCTTGCGGAATTTGTAACGAGCAGTTTTCGCACGGAAGAGCGGGATACCAGACAAACTGGAAGGCTGCCAGAACCTGCGCCAATA